AGCATCCCTACAACATTGTGATGGACTATGTCAGGAGATGGTGTCATGGCTCAAATCCAGCAGATCACACAACAGCACTGATTAACAACTGTAGTCAGAACAAGGTACCTAATCTGGAAGTGGTGCAGTCTTGTATTCTGACGGCTAGAGAATTGCTCAATTTGGAGGTAAGCTGGTAGTGCAGTGTTCACAGTTCAGGTTACCATAACTGTTTTTCAACCACATTCCACTCTGAATGGAACATTGTATTGCAAACCAGTGTACTCAGTATATGATCTACTGTATAGTGTCTGTCTCTCTAAGGTTGATTTCTTGAAGAACACAGAGGGGAATGTGATAATTTTGAACATTGTTAACTGGTGAAGTGGAATTTGTTCCATTCTGCTATATCAGCCTGATCTGTTATTATTGTGCATGATGTTCTCTGTTTCGAGTGTACAGGCCTTAGTTCAGTGACTTTCTTTTCTACACTTTTCTTTGTGGTGTGCTTTGCTCTAGAATACTCTCTTCGCGCCTGATGTTAGTTCCACACTCTTCCCAGTGTTGAAGTCACTTGTTAAGGATCTCAGTGCTTGCCTGCCAAGCAAGTGTGCAACTGGTCTCTCCGTGTCTGGAATTGTGTACTTACCACCACTAGCTGGAAACCTGTCTCTACTATACTACTCTCTCATTGCTGCCCTACATCATCAATCCAAGAGAGGCCAAGTGAGCAATGATCACCACATTGCACTACTGGAATGGTGTCCACGTGTAGCAGCATGTTTTGTCTGCTATGACCTTGACAACATCGAGGCATGTCCTCGTTGTGGCATGGCTTACCTGTGTGGCAAACATCGTCAAACTGATGAACACCTAAGTGAACACAACCAACACTGTGCTATGCTGGCAGCACTCAGACATCGCATACTACAGTAAGTTAGAGTGTTATCATCAACTGACATGACAGATTGTGAGTGCTGTGTGATGAACTGGTTTGTTAGTGCCTTGGTATCGTGAGAAAATTACGGCTCAGTCTGCGTGTAAACGTTTCTGGGTGGGGTGGGGGGGGGGGCAGGTGTGTGTGTGGGGGGGGGCAGTGCTGGTGTGTGGGGGGGGGGGGCGAGGGGGCGGGGATAGAGGTGTGTGTGTGTGGGGGGGGGGGGGTGCTGGTGTGTGTGTGTGTGTGTGTGTGTGTGTGTGTGTGTGTTGAGTGTATGGGTGTGTATGTGTGTGCATGTGTGTGTGTGTGTGTGGGTGGGTGTGTGTTGGGTGGGTGGGTGTGTGTGCATGTGCATGGGGTCTGTACTTGTCTGGTAGTTCATCAGTATTACGAGTGAACTATCGAGAGTCCATCGCAGGACCAGCAAGGGGGGGGGGTATGTGTGTGTGTGTGTGGGGGGGGGGGGGGGGCGTGCTGATGTGTGTATGGGGGGGGGGGGATTGGAGAGGAGGTATGTGAAGCAAACTTTTGATCATCCGTAATATTATCATCACGCCATATTTTCGCACTACCTCGATGTATTGTCCATTCGTATTACACGGTAACATCGGCTCAGTGAGACAGACTGAAGACTGTGCGTGCGTGTGTTTGTTTGTGAGTGTATGTGTGGATGTGTGTGCGTTTGTGTGTGTGTGTGTGTGTGTGTGTGTATGTGTGTATGTGTGTGGGAGGGGGGGGCTGTACTTGTACTTGTATGGTAGTGATTCAGTAATACGAGTGAACTACCGATGAGTCCATGGCAGGATCAACAGTAGAGGGAGGGGGGGGGGGGGGAGGGGTACTCGCACAAGACCTTTGATTTTCTGTAGGATCCCACACGGTATATTTCTACTGTCCCTCTGTATGACCCCTTCTAGGGCCAATGTGACATTGTAACGATGGGTTTATAGAACAGGCGGGAGTCTTTCACAGTGTGTATGTGTTTGAGAGCACGTGCACCCGTGCGTGTGTGTGTGTGTGTGTGTGTGTGTGTGTGTGTGTGTGTGGCTGCATGTATGGGCACTTATGTTGGCAAACATCTTTTTGTCGAGCGAATGCACACTTGCTCACCTCACTGCCCATCTCTCTGGCCAGTTTGTGAGCTGGTCGTATTCACTCACCATACCCTGCTGCCACTCAAATTGGTTTTGCACCGTGTCAACCTGTGACTAGTGAAACAGACCAGTTCCAATAAAAATGTCGAAATTGCCAGAGTCGATTCTAAAGGCAAAGTCACTTATCCCGTCACAATTACTCATGCCTCTTCTCGTCTTCGTCTCGCTCAATGAAAAACACATGAACTGCATGATTGTGTATACGAGGATTAGCGACCCGGAGTGTGTGTGTGTGGGGGGGGGGGGGGGTGTGGGTGCGTGCGTGCGTGTGTGAATGGACAAGGGGTGGGTATGTGTGTGTGTGGGGGGGGGGGGGGTGTACATGGGGAAAACAAATGGCAGAATGTGTAAAGGGAATGTCGCTTCTATAGTATGTGTGCAACGTATCCTGTTATACTGTCACCTCTTTTACAGCTTGATCGGTTATTTAGATTGTGTGCAAACACTGCCTGTAGATTCCAGTCATGATGTCATTATGAGTCATGATTATTATAACAATGACTTCATTCTTAATTATATCACCAAAGCATGCAATCCATAAGACGCATTCTATGGCCAGAGCTTCAAGTAAATGGTTGATTCTGCCTGTGTGTGTTGTTTGGTATGTGTGCGGGTGTGGTGGTGTGTGTTTGGGCGCGTGTGTGTGTGTGTGCGTGTATGTGCACTCTCGCCATTGTACATTCTACAGGGCTAGCTGAGCTTCTGAGGAGCTCTACTGGATAGTGTTTAGCAGTTGAGATTGGTGAAAGTGACAGCACTGGACAGGGATCACTGATTTCATGCAGCTACTGCAGTAAGAGATACTCCAACAGCACACTACCTGTCATTGATCACAACACTGTGACATCACTTGTATAGACATGATGTATACAGATTGTCTATGACACACACAGTGTTGTGTTACTATGTAGATATAATGATCAACTGAACTACATGTACTGTCTAGTCCAGTCTACTGTGGTATCAGTTTTACTGAATGTGTTCATGTCTACTCTCACCTACTGTTTTTACACTAGTCACTGTACAGAATAGTTACCGGTATGTCAGTTAAACATGGAAAACTCTACTCTACAAATGTTTATACTGCAATGTATATTGCCATAGCAGTGTCAGCCATACCCTGTACATACAAGTTCATGCTATTACCCTTGAGATACACATCGTATTTTCCTCCAGTATTGAAATCTAGCAGCAATGCTAGCATTCATTTGGCAAGCAAGAAATGCCCGTTGTCTGCTACCATGCCAAGTCATGAAGCATCGTGAATGTAGCCATAGTTTGACCCTAGCACACACACACTGCAGCTCCTTCCACGTTTCCAATTGTGGCTGGGTTTTCAGTAGACCACAGGACCTATCCTGCCTGAACATGGCAATGTGGCAATGTGGCAATGTGGCAATGTGGCAATGTGTCCCAGGTTCAATGTGTTTGTGTGTACGTGCGTGCGCACGTGCGCACGTGCGCATGTGCGCACATGTTTGTGTGCGTGTGTTTGTGTATGTGTGGGGGGGGGGGATGCGCATGGATGTGCATGCACGTGTGTGTGTGTGCGTGTGTGTGTGTGTGTGTGCGTGTGTCAGTTTGTTATGTGAGTATATACATGCTCAGGGGTACACCATGCCAAACTAGAGTGTGCCCATTCATCCCAAGCTCATGACCGGGATCCTACCTCTGCCAGTATTTTGCATTAGGCCGAGTAAAAAAAATTACTAGATGATCGTCCTTTTTTTTGGAAAAATCGGGGAGGGCGGGAGGATTTTATTTTTATTTTTTTACTTTTTACCCTCTCATGCACACAGTGTACACAACAACATCAAGGTTTTTTTTCTCTTTTTTTCTTTTTTTTTCTTTTTTTCTTTTTCTTTCTTCAGCAGATCGATACTGACGTTGTGATATACTAGTAGTATGTGGTCCATATAGTAAAGAAAGTATTAAACAAAGCGTGCACATGTTTCCTGCATCCGCGATCGGTAAAAAACCAACGATTTCGGCAAAAACTCACGATTTAAAAAATAAAATATTTCTTGGGGCGCTGACAAAAACTGGGGCGGACGGGGACGATCATCTAGCTTTTTTTTTTACTTGGCCTTATGTTACTGTTATAGACTGCATTTACATGCCGTCGCTGCATGCTTCTCTCTCGCTGCTTCTTCGTACGACATTATCTCCATTCGCGCATGTCTACGGTATTCTCTCATCATCGCTGCTGGCCCTTACCTGGTTGCTCTGGGCATGCTCGGGCCATTCTCTTGTTTACCTTCGTAATGATAGCTACCAACCATAATTACTCCTCGTGTTGCTTGTGACTGTCGTGTGCCACAAGCAACACAAGCAACACAAGCAACACAAGCATGCAGTCACTCAGTGTAATTAGGTACAACAGTTACCGGCATCAGTAATATGCACTGCAGTTTGCAGTGTTGTAATGATCAAATTTACCATGGCTAAGACCTACAATGTACTGTCGTGAACATTAAAATCAGATGGGATGACCGGGACCAGCACCCTTACTTCTGTTTGCACGTACACACACTATAGTTTATGTACTGACTGTAAAAATGGATCAGCAGTGCTCACGACTGCAAGGTCAGTGCTCATGGGCAGGCACAAGAGTATGTAACGTCTGCGGGGGCGGGGGTCTGAGCCCTCTGGATTAGGATGAGCAGAAAGTTTAGATTTGCCACGAGCACAATGGCACACAGTGTTCAAAATGGGCGCGGGAGGGGGGAGGGGGGGGGGGTGCCAACAGCAAGTTGCAGTGTCGGCATGCCGGTATCGTACAGGCACGCCTAGACTGCATGTGATATCAGCCTTCATACTGCAACTTTTGTTTGAAGTAAGCGTAGTACTTCAAGTATAAAGCATCTTGAATAGTGACGTAATTAAGTACCGGTAGTCGGGCACAGAAAACAGTTAAAGTGACTTGGGAGCAAGTAGTAGTGATGTATTGTATTGTATTGTATTGTATTGTATTTATTTAAAAGGATTCTCCATGTCATAGCAGTACAGCCGTTAATTACTAGTGATGTCATAGCAGTACAGCCGGTAAGTAGTAGTGATGTCATAACGGTACAGCCGTTAAGTAGAACTGATGTCATAGCCAATATTAAATTTGCTTGTAATAAACTTCAAAATATTCACAATAAAGTCCCTCTCCATGCTTCCAGGATGGTGGAACGGACGGAACTTGAAATAGAAACAAACTGTGAACGGGCCTAGCTGAGAAAGAAAAAGAACTTCTTGGTGATGGTTCGGAAAAATGCACATTAGCTATGAGAGTCGACACTGATAAGTCTGGTGGATTGAACAGTGTGATGTCGATAACCACCTATGATAGAACACAGATTGGGCCGAGCTAGGGCAATAGTGAATTTGCCACAAAAAAACCCATAGCTATGTGAATAAAAATAATAATATCAGCGGCATACTTGAAGTAGTGAGGGTAGGTAAGTGTAATTTATCATGTGACCAGTATTGATGGTGGATATGCTAAAATACATATACATGTAGAGTAGTGATGATACTAGCATTGAAACTGGAGAATGGGACGGTCAAGGGTGGACTGTGAGGAGACTAGCATTGAAACTGGAGAATAAGACGGTCAAGGGTGGACTGTGAGGAGACTAGCATTGAAACTGGAGAATGGGACGGTCAAGGGTGGACTGTTAGGAGACTAGCATTGAAACTGGAGAATGGGACGGTCAAGGGTGGACTGTGAGGAGACTAGCATTGAAACTGGAGAATGGGACGGTCAAGGGTGGACTGTGAGGAGACTAGCATTGAAACTGGAGAATGAGACGGTCAAGGGTGGACTGTGAGGAGACTAGCAACAGCAGTGAGGGTGCACACACGTACATGCACTGCCGACTTAACCTTTTTACTGCCATTTCTTCGGTTCGTCTGGAATCAGAACGTTGGCTGGGGTGGTGTCAAGGAGCATGGAATGGCGCTCGTACGACTTTTATTTACGGAAGTGACTGTCCGTGCCATGCAGCAAATCAAAGATTCCCAGTATGCCAAAGTTCTCGTTGAACCTGCATAGCAGCAGCCAACATAAACAAAAAATAATGTCAGTTTTTATAATTATACGAGGTACACAAACTCACCGGCAGGCACATGGGGCTAGCATGGAGTCAGCAGTACATGGGGCTAGCATGGAGTCAGCAGTACATGGGGCTAGCATGGAGTCAGCAGTACATGGGGCTAGCATGGAGTCAGCAGTACATGGGGCTAGCATGGAGTCAGCAGTACATGGGGCTAGCATGGAGTCAGCAGTACATGGGGCTAGCATGGAGTCAGCAGTACATGGGGCTAGCATGGAGTCAGCAGTACATGGGGCTAGCATGGAGTCAGCAGTACATGGGGCTAGCATGGAGTCAGCAGTACATGGGGCTAGCATGGAGTCAGCAGTACATGGGGCTAGCATGGAGTCAGCAGTACATGGGGCTAGCATGGAGTCAGCAGTACATGGGGCTAGCATGGAGTCAGCAGTACATGGGGCTAGCATGGAGTCAGCAGTGAGACAGTGCTGGTGAGACCTGCCATGCTCAACTGACCAGAGGTCTCGGCATCATCGAATGGCAGACTCACTAAACTGAGGGCATTGTAGTGCATTGGATCAGAATCAGACAATACCTATAGGAACATTCATGGTCAGAAGAGACAACAACCATGACACTGGTATGCAAGTGGACTGCTGGAAACAGGGAGTACAGGTCCTCCCTCATTATAACGAGTCCGGTTAGTACATAAACCCCGTTAGTAAATAGAAATCTGAGATCCCTTGGCGAAACGTGGTCTATACAACTGTTTACAGGTCCGGTTACAACATAATCCGTTAGTACAAACAATTCGTTATAACGACCCTTTGCCTAGGTCCCTGGAGTGCCAAACCCTCATTATAAGATAATACTGACCATGCAGGACCAAGGCCAAAACAAGTAGGATAAAGCAGAAAGACGAAACGTAATATATCTATGTATTTGTGAATATGGACGATCCTTTGCATCCAAGGAAGAGCTATGTTGGAGATTTTCCATTATCTTATAACGAGTTGAAGCATCGATAATTTATGTTGTATCGAGGGTAGCCCCGGTAAGTACAAAGTAGTGCCTATTTCACCTTTAGCTGCAAGTCCTGCTACAAGATAAGTCTCATTATAAGATAACTTTTTCGATGGCCCAGAGATTATCTACTAACGAGGGAGGACCTGTATTTCTTTTCTGTTGTTGGGGGGTGGGGGGGGGGGGGGGGGTGGGGGGCAGGGACTGAGGGAGTAATATTCTTCTGTGCGCGTGGTTTTTTAGGGACCATCACAAAAGTTCGCAGAAGCCCCTGAAACGAAGAGAATACGTTTGGGGGGAGGGAGTCGTGTCGAAAATCGCAAACCGGGCTTCAATTCAAAAAAGTATTGACGACATGTAGGAGCTGATAATATAGATTAGCATGCCATCACAGCCGGCGTAGATCGCTTGTCAGGACGCGTAGTCCATTCATGCAACTGCGCGTGTCGCGTAGCTGGCTGCCTGTACACTGTGTGTAGTCTAGTACCAAGAGTCCGTAAAACGCGTGGTTTATGAATTATGGACTCTTGCTACTGCTAGTACTAGTACTAGCAGGGGTTCATAGGGTTTATGAACCCCTGCTGTGTAGTTATTATAATAATTATTATGTGTGCAGCATCCAAGTGAAATAATGAAGCCCATATTGTGACTGTCGTTTCGTTTGAGGGGGGAGGGAGGGGAGTCAGGCCCGAAACTCACGGTCTTCGTTTCGGGGGCTTCTGCGAACTTTTGCGATGGTCCCTTATACATGCAGCCAGAAGTTTTTTCTGGGGGGGGGAGTATTTCCTTTTAGGGGTACAGTGGGGGGGGGGGGGGGGCTCAAGTCAGATTTTTGCGTTCACCTCCTCCCATGTATATGCAAGGTATTACAGCTACCAATCAATGCAGAATGCATACACTACACTACTAACTTTTCATGATAGTAGTCGTGGTACTCGTTGGACGGCATGAACGGCAGGTGGAAGCCGCAGTGTGCGACGGACACGGAGGCCAGCGAGATGCAGGCCCACAAGAGCAGCAGCATACAGTGAGAGCCGAGCAGGACGGGACCAGCCATTACCGGCAATATGTTGGCGATGTCATGCTCGACCGGGTGACAGTACAGCCCAGAGATGCTGATCGGCGCGGTCCACTCATGGTGGACCTTGTGGATGTGTTTATACCACAAGGGAATGTGAAGTGCCCTAGAGAAACACAAAGCAAAAGAGAGAGAGAGAGAGAGAGAGAGAGAGAGAGAGAGAGAGAGAGAGAGAGAGAGAGAGAGAGAGAGAGAGGGAGAGAGAGGGAGAGAGAAAGGGAGGGAGAGAGAGAATGTGTGTGTGTGAGAGAGAGAGAGAGCGGCTTTCCTACTTCAGATTTTATTTCCGTGAGAGGCAACCCCGAAATACTGAAAAACACAAATGTGAAATGCAACCCCCACCAGTTCCTTGCAGGCATACAATGTAGTGGACATTATGCGTGGAGTGTTAGGCATGAAATGGATATTGCAACCAACACAGGTTATTTTGCAGTCCACAATCGCCATCAGTCACATGCCATGGCCAACCTCCAAACTTCTTCCCCAAATTTAACCCTTTCCCACATTCTCCTTCCGTCTTTGTGAAGATACCCTGACTCAACTAGATGTGTAGATGCAACTGTGCAGTGTTTATTTAGACAGTCACACCACTCACTCCATGAATCAACCGTACACGCTGCCGCTTTCCGTTCTGGACCAGGCCGTTCAGTGGTGAAAACATGTCTTCCAGCTTGGCATTGGCCACCTGTCCGTGCTTCCATCATCATTATCATCACTCATTGCTGGAACGGTTCAGGATACCGAGTGGTGATGAAATCGTCGGGCAAGCTGGCCATCATGATGCTGCCTTTGTACGGCTGCCAGGTTATGTTGGAGATATCGGCCGTTCCCTTCACCAACACCGTCGTTACCAGTTCAATGTTGTAAGCCTCTACTCGTAACGAACACTGTTCTCGCCAGTCCCACACACTCACACTATCCCGGTATGTACCAGTGCGCACGGCACAGATGTGATGACTTTGTTGCCAGCCATCTGATCAGTCTGCCATCCATGTCCGCCATCACCGTTGCTATCATCATCGGTAGGTCAGCCAGTTGCAAACCTACCTCCAGTTGATCAAGACCATAGCAGACAGCCTCGGTGTTGATGTTGAACATTCACACACGTCTGAATTTGTTTGAACTTTGAATGGGTTTTCCAAGTTGCCAATCGGTGCTTGGTTTGGCTCACCCCTACTACTAGCCAGCCACTGATCTACTTCGGACTTCGTCGGATCATGAGTCATTGACCTGTACTTGCATCCACGATCATCCGAAACTCGCCACCACCAATGGCCGCATCAGCCTCCTTCACCGGTTGCTCGGCGAAACTGGGCGAAACTGAAGCAAAAGCGAGAAAAGCGAACACAACTACTATTGCCATGCCAACCCACCACCAAACGTCTCGTCTTTCCCACACCTACTAGTACTACTACTACACTTACTCCAAGTCCAAGGGACAGAGCGCGTGCGTTACACTGACATAATCATTATGTAGAGACATGAATCATGTAGATCTACATCTACTACTACATTCTACTACTACTAGTACTAGTACAGTCGTCCCTCTCTAATCCGGCACTTTATAATCCAGCACCCTCGATAAACCAGCACAATTTTCAGTAGCCAAAATGCCCTCATCATGCACATTGCAGCAGTAAATCAGATTTGTTAATCCAGCAGATTTTCGTGGCACAAATGGTGCCGGATTATAGATGGACCACTGTAGTACAGTCGTCCCTCTCTAATCCGGCACTTGTTTATCCAGCACCCTTGCAAACCAGCACACTTTCTGGCAAAACGGATTATTTCAGCTCATTTTCTACGCTTTAATCCGGCACTTGAATTTCGCCTCCAGCAGCGATTTTCTGCAACAAATCACTCAAACTGTACATAAATCGATTTTCTAATCCAGCAGTTGTACATCGCATACGGTCAGGGAGCATTGCAACATACACAACAATCATATGTAACAATCATATGTAAGTCATATGTAACATACACCTGGGAATATCCTATGCTAGTGCATAGGATATTCCCAGGTGTATGTTAAAGACATGTATTACACAAAGTACTTGGATTGACAAAGAAAATCCCTACGTTTTGACGTACGACACAAACATGTATGTTAACAGGTGGGCCGGGTTGGAGGGCAGGATTTGATAATCCAGCACCCTTGTTTATCCAGCAGAAAATGCCATTGCAAAAGGTGCCGGATTAGAGAGGGACGACTGTAGTACTAGTAGTCTTTCACTGGTAGACTCTACTACAGTGCTGGCAACTGAAATCCGACCCCCTAGGAGGCGCGGCGCGCCGCCCAGGGGGTCGGATTTCAGTTGCCAGCACGGTACATAGCGGGATCTAGGAGTAGTGAAAGGGTTTTCACGACTCCTGCTACCATGGCTACTATGTAGATCTACTTCAAAGGACCGGTACATCTACCGGTATACCGGTACTGCGGTAGATCATCATCAGTACTATTATTTTTCTCGGCGCATTTTCTCTGTCGGTCGGTAGCTGTTGAATTGTGTCAGTCGTGTAGTTGTGTCAATGTGTGCGGTGTCTCACTCTGTTCTCCATTGTTCACTGTGGTCCACAGAACGATTCACTCCAGCCAGCGTTGGCTGAGGCCGTGACGGAGTGGTTGGTGGTGAGGGTTTTCAACCTTTCCTAACGGCGCAATGCCGGACAGTGTGAAATACAACATCAAGTACTTATTTGCAAATTTAGATGCTTCAACAATCTTAGAAGACCTACTAGAGAGTGATGTTCTGGACGGAGAGGAATATATTGGCGCACCTGCCAAGGAGCAGAAGTTGAAGTTGGCAGAGTATGTGGTGAGGCTGATGCTGAAGAAAACGGAGGAACAGGTGGATACGTTCCTGAGGCTCGTTCAACACAGCCAGCCTCATGTAGCGGAACACGTCGCCAGCACCATGGCTAAGCGACGCGGTGCAACTGCCAGTGGGAAAACTGAGCATCCGGCGAAGCCAATGTCGGCAGATCGTGAGTCACCACTTGGCTCGTCCTCCGGTAAGTGTTCACATTGACTACAGTGGTGTAGGAAGGTGTGTGTGTGTGTCACTGAGTGCGTTCGATTACACACTTGAATCGATTCATGAATCCATTCGCATGCATTCAAGTCGTTCGATTTTCATGTCATGAGCCCTAGAATCGATTCGGAATCGATTCACTCTATTCATATGGGGTGATGTGAATAGCGCGAATCGATTCATGAATCGATTCGCGTGCATAATCGAACGCACTCACTGTGTGTGCGTGTGTGGAGGGGGGAGGGGGAGAACTCGTTGAACATGCATGAAACTACAGTCGTGGCCAAAGAAATCCAACCCACGTGCCAAAAGCAGCGCCAAGGCTCATGCGGCCCTCGGATCAGCTTTTGTGAACATGCATGCTGTAATTGAAATGTAAACGCGGCGCTACTTTTGACTTGCGGGTCGGATTTCTTTGGCCACGACTGTTCTGCTCAATGGAATCCAGTCGCGTCACTCAAGTACGCGACGGGTGTTCCGCAGCCCTAGGTCTGCAATCACTGGGCTGAGAAAAGGTGCAAGGCGCAAACTTACTTGAGTGACGCAAGTGGATTTCATTGAGGAGTACTGTAACCAATACTTGCTTGCAAGCGCAAATGGGAAGCCATTACAGATGATCAGCCAGTACATGCACGCACGTGGATTATAGTCAGAGCTGACCCTGGGAATACACAATCTGCCCCCGGGGAAAATCGTGGAAAAAATCCCAGAATTTGCGGTGTAATTTGCGGGTAAATATGGCATAATGTGCGGTGAATTTGCGGTAAATATGCGGTGAATACTATTGATATGCGGCAAGTTTGCAGTTGATATGAGGAAAATTTCAGTGGGTATGTAGTGAAATCAATTAGTTACAAGTCTCTGGTGTAAGCACTCGTCATATTTGAGTACAAAGCCGCCACGATAAGACGTTGCTGACCGAACAGTGCACTGTGTCATGAGTCAAGACTTGGCTCGTCCTCCGGTAAGTGTTCACATTGATTACAGTGGCATAGGAAGATTGGGGGGGGGGGCTCGTTGAACATTCGTGTAACATGACTTGTACAGTTCAGCTCAATGAAATCCAGTCACAGCATCACTCAAGTACGCGCTGGGCGTTGCGCAGCCCTAGACCTGCAAACATTGGGCTGCAAAATGGTGCAAGGCACAAACTTGAGTGACACGACTGGATTTCATCGCGCAACACTGTACTTACTTGTTAGCAGTGAGAAGTGCTTACAGAGATCAATTAGTTTATGCATTCACATCAATCGTATTGAGAGCTGACCCTGGGTGGGTTCAGTTAGATGGACAATCCTGAGGTTATAACTAGATCTACATGATGATCCTGTAGATCTACAAGAAATGCAGGTGCCACCGGCGTGAAGCACTGTCATGGGTCACTAGATTATTGCTAGGGAGTTCAGTTCCAGCCTGGGTCAGGTGAAAACTGCAGTCACAACTCGCGTGTACATTTTAACCCTTTGTGTACGGACTCTACAACTTTCGATTCCCTGGGATCGAAACTTTTCAAGATTTTAATCGATCGCAACTCAGTCATTTCTTTTTTTATTTTCAAAAAGTAAGATATGTAGGTCGAAGAGAAAACTCCTAGCTGTCCATTGAAAAATCGCTGAAGCGCTCCGATGTGTGGTTCTGGGAATGTGTGTGTGTGTGTGTGTGTGTGTTTGTGTGTGTGTGTGTGTGTGTGTGTGTGTGTGCGTCCGCACGTGAGTGCGTGAGTGTGTGTATGTGTGTGTGTGTGTGTGTGTGTGTGTCCATTGTTCTTATCACCTGACGATGGCCAAGTGCCGAAACGTTGTAAAATAACGGAACTTGTTCGGATGTGCAGTGCTATGGGAATGGTGTGTCCAATCAAATTCCTTTCCATGTATCATCTGTGTTGTGCAATTCCATTTTTATTTGTTTCTTGACATGTAGTTGTGTGTAGTTGTGTGTAGTTGTGTGTAGTTGTGTGTTCATGTGTCATCTGTGCCTTCTGTATTTTGCTGCTTTCGCAACAGACAATCCGTTTGACCTGACAAGGTTTGTGTGTGACATTCAACCATGGTTGAACAAAGTTGACGCAGATCGACTGCGACAGATGGTGATCATGAAACATCTCATAACTGACAGCGCATCAATAGAGAGACTAAAGAGAATTCAGTCCCGGGATGGACTATCTGATCATAATGAGGCGCTCATTCAGTTGCTCAGAGCTGGTGGCCTAAAGACTTATCGTGATCTCTGTGTTGTCATTGAGGAACTTGGTTATGCCGACAAGAGCAAGGAAATGCTCTCCATTTTGTCCCACCCAGGTATGTTGTTGCTATACGTTTACTGCCATGTGTTCAACTTTAATGGTGCGTAATGAACAGCTGAGAGTTTTCTTTTCGACGTACATATGTTAGTTTTTGGAAATAACCCAGGAATGACTGAGTTCCGATCGATTGAAATTTTGAAAAGTTTGTAGTTGTACAGTCCGTAAATTGGGCCCCGCATGAGATCTCTTTGGCCTGACTTTGACCCTGCTTCTATCTTATCCCGTGGCCAGTACTCCCTTGTCGATGCTGTTTTAGGTAGCTGAGGTCATTGCCTTTCCATTGATGCCACACATGCCATGCTTGAACAAAAAAGGTGGAGCCGTTGTTTGCACAGAGGCATAGCGAAGTACTGATCTCAACCAGATTCATACTCGGCCCCGGGAGGTACACCCAATTTTAGTGTTCAGCAGCCTCGAATTAGTCTAAAACAAGAGCATTCTAGAACATTTAGCCTCGCACTGTATCGCAGTAGAAGGAACATTATCACAGAAGCCAGCCCACAGCGATTTCCCGGTGGTGGACGTAAAAATCGAGTGAATCGAGCGCACACTATAGAAGCTGTGACGGTGAAAGCATGTGAGTTGTGGAAGCAGGCAAACCCGGCATGCCGTGCAGCACATGCATGCACACGGCATACATGTGCACAACCTGCATTGTCATGCACTTCATGCAATTAAGCACTTCAGTTCGCACGCGCATCTATGCACCAAATAGTGCAGTGCTGGACGGAAACCACCCCGTCCCCTTCCATACTTGAATTGCTTTCTGTGACTGCTCAGGCTTTCATTTTCCAAACTTCAATTGCTTCGAAATCGCAAACATTGTTTTAGTCGGAGTCAGTTTTTTCTCATTGCTATGCCGCAGCTATAGTGCAGTATTCCAGAGAATGCCACTTTCCAGACAAAATGTTCAACTGAGACTTAGTACAGTAGTTGTTGGCGAGCGAAGATTGCAAGGTACTTTGGCGGCAGTCATAAATTTGAACATTTCCATGGAAATACGAAGCCCAAGGCTACCAGTCATCATTCAATGACCTCCAAAAGATCTCACTAAGTCAAGATGGTCATCAACACCACTGTGGAAAATCCGCTATCAGTGGAACATGACTTTGTTATTAATTGTAGAGTTTTACAACAACCACTAGAGAGGTTTTGCTGAGCAAAAGTTCGCGTAAATTTTCGATTGACGTCGCGAGAAGCAACTTCGCACGAACGTTCGCAGCTGTGAACGCGAAAGTTGAAGGAAATACGAAACAATTTTCGCAGTAATTTTCGCTGATCACGGACCAGTGACTATTGGTGAACCACGCTCATGCAATGTTTGGTGCTTCATCTTTCACAATCCAGTAGATATACTCTTGGCTTGGTCCTCCAGTGCTAGCTTTCCCATATGGCAGCCCGTGTTGCTTAATCTCCGGAACCATGTCCGATCTCCTACCCTGGTCGTCTTTTCAGAGTCGGTAATATCAATGATCCCTGTTTTCTTGATTTTCAGGTGTTGATGCGCCGGAATACAGCACAGGCAAACCCGTTTGTCTGCCGGTCATGGACAACGTAGTCAAAGAGTTCTTGTCGCAGGGTGCTGCCACTTGCAAAAATAAATAATCGGATGAAGATGACTTCTCAAACAAGCGCGAGTACACGCGTGTTTTCCTGGAACGAAAATCATGCAAAATACAAATTTCGCGCAAACGTTCGCAGAAATATTTGCAAGCCCAGACGCGGTAATCCATGCAAAGTTTTGCTCAGCAAAGCGTCTCTACTAGTACGAGATAAGCCCGGGATTCTTGTTTGAAATCGGGGCGTTATTCTCAAACGTAAACGTATCCCTCTGTTATTCTTGCAACGTAAACGTATCCCTCTGTCATTGCTCAGTGCACAGAACACTACCAGTACTAAGAAATTTTGATTTTATGATCTTTCCATAGGTATTTTAGGGAAACATGTTGGTGATCTACCCCCCCCCCCCCTCCCACGACCTGTGGTGCTGGCACGTGTCAACCATGTGGAACATTTGGGGCTGGGAAAATGGAAGTAAGTATTAGTTTGGAAGACCGCGTGGCATGAAGAAGTGCCTAGAACTGGACAGAAGCCGGCCAGCCACTGCTGTACCAGCACGATGGTCCGCGTCCGCACACAATGAAACTCAATGCACGTGCGTTTGCAGCGCAAGGGAAAGCGAAGGGACCCGACATTCAGATTGTTGTTCAGCCGGGACAAAACCCCGATGTCAACGCGGACGACTTGGCATTCTTCTACAGCCTGGAGACAGACGTGTCACTGATGGCGAAGGAAACTAGAAAGGAGCTCAGAAGTTCTGCAGGCTTTGGAAACATGCTGGCAGCAGAACCCCGCTGCCAAAATGAAAAGCATTAAATGTTTGCTTGTTTTGCCATGGCACATTCCATCGCATTCTGGAGAGCGGCGGAGAGAAACACTGCCGACAGCGGCACCGTGCAAATCATCAAGCACACAGTTCAAGCAAAAAAGTACGATCAAATATTTTCTCGGCATCTTTTAAAGGTTACGGAGCGTGAGCTGTCAGTGTGTCAGCGCTGGAGACGGGAGTCAGCGAGGAAGCAGACTCAATGCAGGGAATGAGTTGTCATCGAATTCAGATGAAGAGAGAAGCTGGACCACTTCGAAACAAACTGTGTGACATCTATAAACTACTATCTCTCGTATGCGCATTGTTTTCCCCTCTGCGAAGTGTGTTGTAGCCATAGAATGCTTTTAACGGAACTGCAAAAACATGCAACAACATTTCGCTTAACAAAGGAAGTACATCATACATCCCTTTTGAAAGAGTTTCAAAACTTACAACAGGTTTATTCATACTTTCTGTTGCCTTTGTAGGTATCACCATGACAACAGTTGGCAAACAGAAAACACAGCCATTGCAGCACACAGTGGGAGCTTGTCAGGCAGACCAACGACGGACGTCCAACAGATGTGAACCAATCTTCAAACAACCAACATCAGCTGAAACAACAGCCAGTGTAACTAGAACGGGTACAACATCCAATACAACATTGACTACAACACAGGATTCAACAAGATCAGCAACTTCAAGCCAGTCATCTCTACCGGACAAAGACCGACACTTCACTGGCAGGAATGACATTGTTAAAGAGATCAGTCACAACATTATCACAACAAAGTCCAAGTCATCATCTACACGTGTGCAGAGTCTTGTGGCACCAGCTGGTTTTGGTAAGACGTCCGTAGCCATTGCTGTTGGACATGTATGTCGCAATGCTGGTTGTCGTGTGGAGTTCTTTGACTTACGCGGTGTAGCTGGTGTTGGTGCTGTCCAGGCAATGATTCAGAACCGACTCGAAACAAACCCAGCTTCATCTGAAACTACTGGCAAGACAACAAAATCAACTGATGCCATGGATGATGATGGTGGCAAACACCACATGCTAGTTATTCTGGACAATGCCGAGGATGCTATCCAGGCCAATGCGGATAAGGATTTCCAACTACAAGATGTCATACAACGACTACTACGCCAACAACACAGCGTACATGTCCTACTGACAAGTCGTGTTTACTTTGACCTACACGCTGCCCAGTTTAAACTACAACAACACCGTCTTGATGGTCTGACAAAGGTTTGTGCTGTTGGTCTTCTCCATGGTCTATGTGTTGAAGGTAGTGTGAGCATTGAAGATGCACAGAGGTTATTGGATCATTGTGGAAATGTTCCACTTGCTGTACGCATTACAGCTGGTCTTCTACAAGGTGGCCGATTAACTCCCACCATGTTGCTGTCATTGTTCAAGAAGCTTGGTCTTGATGTCTTCAACGATGATCGTCTTAAACCGAATCATCGGATTCTGCAGCTGTTGAAAGTAGCATACAACACATTAGGTCAGGATGACAAGGAGTCATTCCATGCACTTGCTCAACTACGCTCCTCGTTCTCATCTGAATGTGCTTGTGTCATGGTGGGTTTGCCTGCAACTGATGCCAATGTGGTTCATCTTGTACGTTTTGATCCTCTGATCAAGATTTGTTTCCTGGATTACAATTCGTATTTGAAACGCTACTCTTTGCAACCATTCGTCGCCGAGTTTGGTCGTTACCAATGCCCTGAAGACAAGCAACGCATGTACCAACGGCGAATGTGCAAGCATTTCCTTGGCTTTGTGAAGGAAGTTGATGACCGTAGAGGTTGTGGTGCAGACAAAGCAATGTATTGGAGTTACCAACTTCTTCAGGAAAGCGTGAACATACAGAGTGCTTTGTCAGTTGTTGATGTTTTGTCTGGTGATGACTTGCTTCCTTTCTCTGGATTAACAAAGTCGTCGGGTATCCTATTGGCCTTGTTTCGGAGAGCAGTACTTGTTGGAGAGTTTGGGGACAGGTTTCAAAGATTGGCCAAAGCATCGCTATCTGTACAAGCTGACAGCATTTGCAACTCGGTCCTGTGTTATATTATACGTCCAAGCATTGCAGATTCTGATTTCACTTTTGAGAGTTTGGATTCCAGAACCCAAATGCTCCTGGAGAAATCTGAACAAGAACCGACAGGAGTGGAGTCGCAGTTGCAGCTTATTTTCATGCAACTTTTTCTGGAGTCATGCAGGGTATTCATGTCTCTGGACATCGACTGCAAGGAAGGACAGGTTGAGCCCAGCCAGGAAACACTATCCCGTCTTCAGGTGGTGTACCAGCGTGTTACAACAACACTGGGAATTGGTCTTGCAACAGGTGTCACTGAATGTGCCCTGAAACTCATTCAACTGTATTGTTCCACTCTGCTAAACAAGGATATACCCAATGTACAGGCGGTAGAAGACCTTGCTGAGAGAGTGATGTCATCACGCTTCCTATCACAGGATGGTGCAGTCAGGTCATGCGCCGTAATGTACGGTTTTCTGCTACAATGCATATTTGTGATCCTGGGCAAGGTCATGTCAAGTTCCTGCAGCAGTGAGTGGATTATTTCACCATCATTGCTTACAACACTGGGTATACCACTGTGCAAGTGGAAACATGTACCAACTGCTTTCAGGCGCTCGGTCAAAACCCATGACGACTTTACCACTGTGTCTACTTTTCGGTTACAACGGTACCTGTACTCCATGGATAATGACACAGTGTCCACACTACTGGGCATGCTCTGGAGTGAAGTGTACAGCTACCGATACAGCTCCTTAGTAGCTATTGGAAGGTCACACACAACTCCAAAGGGTCTCACTCTACCAGCACAGCATCCCTACAACATTGTGATGGACTATGTCAGGAGATGGTGTAATGGCTCGGATCCAACAGATCACACAACATCACTGATTAACAACTGTAGCCAGAACAAGATACCTGATCTTGAAGTGATGCAGTCTTGTATTTTTACGGCTAGAGCACTGCTTACTTTCGAGGTAAGCTGGTATTGCAGTGTACACAGTTCAAGTTACCATAACTGTTTTTTTCATCCACATTCCACGCTGAATGGAACATTGTATTGCAAACCAGTATACTCAGTAATTATCTACTGTATAGTGTCTGTCTCTCTAAGGTTGATTTCTTGAAGAACACAGAGGGGAATGTGATAATTTTGAACATTGTAACTATGGAAAGGGAATGTGTTGCTTTCTGCTATATCAGTCCAGTTTGTAATTCTTGAACATGTGCTTGTTTTGCTTGTCCGTTACGTTCTTTCCTACACTGTTCTTTGTTTTGTGCTTTGTTGTAGAATACTGCCTTAGCACCTGACGACATTTCCGAACTCTTCCCAGCATTGAAGTCAGTGGTTAAGGATCTCAGTGCTTACCTGCCAAGCAATTGTGCAACTGGTCTCTCAGTGTCTGGAATTGTGTACCTACCACCCTTAACTGGACCCCTTGACAGGCTTTACGTCCCTCTCCTTGCTGCCCTACATCATCAATCCAAGAGAGGCCGTGTGAGCATTGATCACCACATTGCACTACTGGAATGGTGTCCACGTGTTGCAGCATGTTTTGTCTGCTATGACCTGGACAACATCACGGCATGTCCTCGTTGTGGCATGGCTTACCTGTGTGGCAAACATCGTCAAACCGATGAACACCTACGTGAACACAACCAACACTGTGCTATGCTGGCAGCACTCAGACATCGCATACTACAGTAAGTTGAGTGATGGCATCATACGAGAGTGTGTGCACATGTGCTGTGTGTGTTGTGTGTGCTGTGTGTGCACTGTGTGCTGTGTGTGCACTGTGTGCTGTGTGTGCACTGTGTGCTGTGTGTGCACTGTGTGCTGTGCTCGTATGTCAGTACTTATGTCGTACACGAGAGTCACCGCTGTGTCTGTGACAGGGGTGGACTGACAGGGTGGTACTTACATCAGATCATTGATTTTGGCAATGTTACAGAAAGGGTATGTTCTAACGGGTACTCTGTGTGTGTGTGTGTGTGTGTGTGTGTGTATGTGTGTGTGTGTGTGTGTGTGTGTGTGTGTGTGTGTGTCTCTCTTTCTCTCTCTCTCTCTCTCTCTCTCTCTCTCTCTCTCTCTCTCCATCTATCTATCTATCTATCTATCTCTCTCTGTCTCTCTGTATTCATTGCGCGAAATCGTACAACACCTGTGCATTTATAAATCTGCGCGCTGAAGATGGCGACGCCAATGCATTTGGTATTATGCAGCCCTCATGCTAGGGGTGAGGGGATAAGTCTCACAATCACACCCCATTAGCCGCAGTGATGGTACGTGATGATAGACCGGTTCCAAAGAAGCAAGAGACAATAGCTGAGCCACATCATCACATCCGATTGTCAGCGATTCACACTGCCCAACGGAGGCAGACGCACAAATCTCCCGCCGTGGGCCGATGACACAAGCGGTCACCGAGGCAAACAGTCAGCCCACCGTGAGGGCTAAATAATCCTATCCACCGTGGACCGCTAGTATACTGCCCACAAAGGGTGCACAAATGGCCGACGCGGCCAGCAACCTGCCAAATCCAAACCAACAAAGCGTCTCTGTAAGTTTGTATCCCTGGTGATGGTTTGGCCTGGAGAGCAGTATATAAGTGGTGCTTTTCAGGCACAATCTTCCTCAGCCTACTCAAGCTCAACTGATGAGGGGTGAATTCCCCGAAACACTGTGTATTGAGCAGGGAGTGGTGCTTTCTTTCAAGTTTGCCGAGCGGAAGGTGCGACGTGCTCCTGGTGTGCTCCGGATGGCAGTCGTGAGTCAGTCAAGTGTCAAGTTCGGCAAGAAGCGTGTGCTCCTCGTTGGAGCAACCAACTTCATGACATTACCGCCGAAGTCGCAACTTCTAAGTTCGCAATTGCCAGAGTCGATTCAAAAGGCAAAGCCACTTATCCCGTCACAAACCCTCATGCCTCTTCTCGTCTTCGTCTCGCTCAATGAGAAACACATGAACTGCTTGATTATATATACTTCGAAGTATGAGGATTAGCGACCCGGAGTCTGTGTGTGTGTGTGTGTGTGTGTGTGTGTGTGTGTGTGTGTGTGTGTTGGATCCCGGGACGGATACCCGGATGCCATCAACACTTTTTCTGCGCCTTGTCCTCACCCACTTACTGAGGTGTGGTGAGCCCATAAGTGGGATCATTCTATTTTACTCTCTTTCTCACTCCTGTGTACAGCCACACCATACATGCTCCCACCCCTAACACACCTCACTCACATACACACCCACATACACACGCACACAGCAACAACAAACAGCCTCTGCGGGGACAGCAGCAACAGCAAGCAAATGTATTGTCAACTCACGGCGACAATAATAAACAGCTTAAAGCAACTCAACTAGATCATCAAGATTATTGCCGTCTGCAATCTGAGCACACCGGTAATATCCAAACGACTCAACAAGATAACCATTCACTAGGGCGGGCGGGCATGGGCACTACACTTGCAAAGCAAGAAGAAAAAGAGTGCCGCAGCCGGAACGCATGCTCCTACTATCTCGCATTTGCGAGCAGCAAATGTTACGTCATGCAAAAGAAAGACAAAAATGAACTACATTTCTCGTTTCTTTCCTACGTCGACCAACGAGAAATGAGGCATTTTCCAAGTGCACCCAGAGTTTTGGGGTTTCAGGGGGCGTCTGCCATTGAGCAGTTCGAATAGCCAATTGATTCCTCTTTCCAAGATTCCTTTTGAGGCTGCGTTTAAACGACAACGCTGGGGGTGAAAACGCAACAAAATCCTTTCGGATGCATGGTTCATTTACACGGTACGAAGAGCAAAACGTAAAAGTTGTACACCAAAACGGAAGAAAACCAAAACGCTGGCCAAGGTGGAAGAATTTGAAAACGGAAATGTTCTGCCGGATAAATTTGAGTGTGTAAACAGTCGAAACGGTATGCTGGCCTCGTTTTCCGTCACGCTTGTTTCGTTTTCAGCCGTTCACACGGATCCGGATATCCGGCAATCCAAAAATTTGTTTTTACAATTTTCGTCATGTGACGAGTGTTGTTTTGTGGCCTGTTTTCAACTATTCCTTGAGTGTAATTGGTGCTTCCACGACAACACTTGGCACATGACGAAACTTTTGCAGATCCTTTGCTCGTGTAGACGCGCGAAAACGATACAAACGGAGACCACCTCGGATCAGCTTTGATCATGTAAACGCACGAAAACGAAAGAAGAAATGCGGGACTGAAAACGGAAAACTGGCCGTGCGTTGTCGTGTAAACGCAGCCTGAGTCTCTCTCCCTTCTCCCGGCGAGACCCACGTGACCAGTTTTGGCAGTTAGAGTGTTATCATCAACTGACATGACAGATTGTGAGTGCTGTGTGATGAACTGGTTTGTTAGTGCCTTGTTACCGTGAGAAAATTACTGCTGAGTCTGTGTGTAAACGTTTCTGTGTCGGATGGGGGGGGGGGGTATGCCGGTGTGTGTGTGTGGGGGGGGGGGGCGGTGTGGGGGAGGAGGGGATAGAGGTGTGTGGGTGTGGGGGGAGGGGGGTGCAGGTATGTCTGTGTGTGTGTGGGGGGGGGGGGGTGCTGATGTGTGTGTCTGTGTGTGTGTGTGGGGGGGGGGGGGAGTTGGAGGGGTGGTGTGCGAACCAAACTTTTGATCATCCGTAACATCATCACGCCGTATTTTCGAATTGCCTCTTTGTATTTCCCATTCTTGATCTTGTGTTACCCTGTAATATTGGCTCAATAAGACAGACTTTTAAGTTTTTTTTGTTTGTGTGTGTGTGTGTTTTTTGTGTGTATGTGTGTGTGTATGTTGAGTGTATGTGTGTGTGTGTGTGCGTGTGTGCGTGCGTGTGTGGTGGTGTGTGTGCATGTGTATGTGCACTCTCGCCGTTGTACACTCTCCAGAGGGCTAACTGAGCTTCTAAAGATTTCTACTGGATAGTGTTTAGCAGTTGAGATTGGTGAAAGTGACCAGCACTGGACAGGGATCATTTCAAGCAGCTACTGCAGTAAGAGATACTCCAACAGCACACTACCTGTCATTGATCACAACACTGTGACATCACTTGTATAGACATGATGTATACAGATTGTCTATGACACACACAGTGTTGTGTTACTATGTAGATATAATGATCAACTGAACTACATGTACTGTCTAGTCCAGTCTACTGTGGTATCAGTTTTACTGGATGTGTTCATGTCTACTCTCACCTACTGTTTTTACACTAGTCACTGTACAGAATAGTTACCGGTATGTCAGTTAAACCTGGAAAACTCTACTCTACAAATGTTTATACTGCAATATATATTGCCATAGCAGTGTCAGCCATACCCTGTACATACAAGTTCGTGCTATTACCCTTGAGATACACATCATATTTTACTCCAGTATTGAAATCTAGCAGCACTGCTAGCATTCGTGTGACAAACGTAGAAATGCCCTTTGCAGCCACTGTGTGCTATCACGTCAAAGCATGAAGCATCACAAATGTAGCCATGGCTCGACCCAAGCACACACACAGACTGCAGCTCTTTCAACAATATTTACTATTGTGGCCGGCTTTTCAGTAGACAACAGGACTTATCCTGCCTGAACATGGCAATGCGTCCAAGGTCGCACGTGCTTGTGTGTGTACTAGTGTGTGTGTGTGTACTGGTGTGTGTGTGTGTGTGTGTGTGTGTGTGTGTGTGTGTGTGTGTGTGTGTGTGTGTGTGTGTGTGTGTGTGTGTGTGTGTGTGTGTGTGTGTGTGTGTGTGTGTGTGTGTGTGTGTGTGTGTGTGTGTGTGTGTGTGTGTGTGTGTGTGTGTGTGTGTGTGTGTGTGTGTGTGTGTGTGTGTGTGTGTGTGTGTGTGTGTGTGTGTGTGTGTGTGTGTGTGTGTGTGTGTGTGTGTGTGTGTGTGTGTGTGTGTGTGTGTGTGTGTGTGTGTGTGTGTGTGTGTGTGTGTGTGTGTGTGTGTGTGTGTGTGTGTGTGTGTGTGTGTGTGTGTGTGTGTGTGTGTGTGTGTGTGTGTGTGTGTGTGTGTGGGGGGGGGGGTGGGGGTGGGGGTGGGGGTGGGGGTGGGGGTGGGGGTGGGGTGGGGGTGGGGGTGGGTGTGGGTGTGGGTGTGGGTGTGGGTGTGGGTGTGTGTGTGTGTGTGCACATGGATGTGTATGTGGAGGGCAGGGGGAGGGGGGGGGGGATGCGCATGGATGTGCACGCACTTGTGCGTGTATGTGCATACATAAGGAGACACCATGCCAAACTAGAGTGTGCCCATTCATTACAAGGTCATGACCGGGATCCTACCTCTGCCAGCCTACGGTATTTGCAGTATGTTACCATCAGTAATATGCAGCAGTGTTGTATTGTTCAAATTCATCATGGTTCAGATCTACAATGTACTGTCGTGAACATTGAAATCAGATGGGATGACCGGCGACCGGCGCCCTATACTGCTTTTAACGTGTACACACACTATAGTTTATGTACATCATCATCATCATCATCTGCGTTGCCGAAAAAATAATAAAAGTAAAATTTAAAAAATAATAATAATAAACGGCATTATGCAGCTGTGTAAGCAGTAGATGCACAGTGCGACTGCCAGGCATCTCTGTCAGATGCCAACTGGCAATTCTCATGCATAGTTTATGTACCTATGGTAAAAATGGACCAGCTGTGCTCGCGGCTACAAGGCCAGCGTCACGTGGCCGCTGGACTTCTCAACGAATTTCAAAGTCCTCGACAGCACCTTGAAGTGTAGATAAATGGAGGTGGCAAACGTCACGGACCATGATTCTGTGGCGATACTGCACCCAGAGATCACTGGCCGTGCTCATGGGCAGGCACAAGAGTATGTAACCTCTGCGGCGCGGGGTCTGAGCCCTCTAGTCTGGATGCGGAGGAGCAGCTAGTTTAGATTTGCCACGAGCGCAATGGCACACAGTGTTCAAAGCGGGCAGCGGTGCCAACTGCAAGTTGCAGTGTCGGCATGCCGGTATCGTACAGGCACGCCTAGACTGCATGTGATTTCAGGCTTCATACTGCAACACTTTGTATGAAGTAAGCATAGTACTTTCAAGTATAAAGTAGGGCTCAAACGGTTAGTCCGATTAACCGGTTGCAGACCGGTTACGAAGAATTAACGGTTAACCGATAAAGATAACGGTTACGCAGTAACTTTTCAGTCAATTTTTCAAGTATCAGGTCGTTGCAAAGTGTGCACTTTCGCGGGCTGTCGCACGCGTACGCAATTTCTAGGCTGTCAACTCGGTCATATCTGGTCTCTTGGTGTGAGAGTATGTATGAATGAGCATGCAAGAGAATGTACAAGTGTGTGTTGTACTGAATAGGGTACATTTTTTGAATGAGTATAGTCAAATATACGGTTAAAAAAGAGACCGAAAACAAATTGTGAACGGCCCTAGGTGAGAAAGAGAACATAACTTCTTGGTGATTGCCGTCGGAAACAATGCACATTGGCTATGAGAGTTGTCACTGATAGGACTGGAAGATTGAACAATGTGATGTCGTCAATCAACCACCCATGATAGAACACAGATTGGGCCGAGCTAGGGCACTAGTGAATTTGCCACAAAAAAACCCATAGCTATGTGAATAAAAATAATAATATCAGCGGTATACTTGAAGTAGTGAGGGTAGGTAAGTGTAATTTGTCATGTGACCAGTATTGATGGTGGATATGCTACATTACATATACATGTAGAGTAGTGATGATACTAGCATTGAAACTGGAGAATGGGACGGTCAAGGGTGGACTGTGAGGAGACTAGCATTGAAACTGGAGAATGGGACGGTCAAGGGTGCACTGTGAGGAGACTAGCAACAGCAGTGAGGATGCACACATGCATATGCACTGCAGACTTAACCTTTTTACTGGCATTTCTTCGGTTCGTCTGGAATCAGAACGTTGGCTGGGGTGGTGGCAAGTAGCATGGAATGGCGCTCGTACGACTTTTATTTACGGAAGTGACTGTCCGTGCCATGCAGCAAATCAAAGATTCCCGGTATGCCAAAGTTCTGGTTGAACCTGCATAGCAGCAGCCAACATAAACAAAAAATAATGTCAGTTTTTATAATTATACGAGGTTCACAAACTCGCCGGCAGGCACATGGGGCTAGCATGGAGTCAACAGTACATGGGGCTAGCATGGAGTCAGCAGTACATGGGGCTAGCATGGAGTCAGCAGTACATGGGGCTAGCATGGGGTCAGCAGTACATGGGGCTAGTATGGAGTCAGCAGTACATGGGGCTAGCATGGAGTCAGCAGTGAGACGGTGCTGGTGGAGCCTGCCATGCTCAACTGACCAGAGGTCTCGGCATCATCGAATGGCAGACACACCAAACTGAGGTCATTGCAGTGCATTGGATCAGAAGCAGACAATACCTATAGGAACATTCATGGTCAGAAGAGACAACAACCATGACACTGGTATGCAAGTGAACTGCTGGAAACAGGGAGTATTTCTTTTTCTGTTGTTGGGGGCAGGGACTGGGGGAGTAATACAGTCGTCACCAAAAAAATCCAGCCAATGCCATGGATACATGTACAGTGACATGGTGCCTGTCACAATCGCATTCATGCATTTACAGTCATTAGAGGGTCTACCAGCATAGCACTGAACTAAAACAGTCCGCGGCTCTGCACTCTGCCTGCTGCAGTCGAGTCGAGCACAGCACAGACAGTGCACTGCAGAGTGCAGTCCCGGCGGCAGAGCATGAGACATTCACTAGGCTATTACTTGCACTACAGTCCATTCAGAAAAAGATGGGCTCTGGCTCTGGCGAGCTCCCGTATTTGGCGATTTTTCGTGATTTCATTGTACACAGTGTAGTGCTGCGAAATTTGAACTTTGAAAAAGAGTCCAAAAAGGGTACCTGAACTGGGGTTGGAACCCCACAATGCACTGTTGCAGGCAGGGTCAAACGGCCTGGATTTTGATGGTTTTTTCCAATTCAATGCTTCTGGGGCAAAACCTGGCCGATATCCTATTCTTGTTATGGCTTGCTTTTTGGACAAATAGACTTCAGAAACATAATTGGAAGAGGATTCCATAGGGGATTGCAGAAAACAATTCTAAAAAAACTCAAAGTTTGACCCATTTATGGCCAAAAGCTAGAAGTTCATCTTTTTCTGAATGGACTGTAGCAGTGGCAGTGCATGCTGCCCATGCACAGTACAGCTACCGGTAGCTAGCATAGCATTGGCCGGATTGTTTGGCCACGACTGTATTCTTCTCTGTGCAAATTTCGAAAAGTTAGCAAGTGGCTTTATACATGCAGTCAGAGCATTGGGAGGGGGGGGGGGGCTCAAGTCAGATTTTTGCGTTCACCGCCTCCCATGTATGTGCAAGGTATTAGTACAGCTAACAATCAATGCAGAATACACACACTACACTACTAACTTTGCATGATGGTAGTCGTGGTATTCGTTGGACGGCATGACCGGCAGGTGGAAGCCGCCCCACAGTGTGCGACGGACACGGAGGCCAGCGAGATGCAGGCCCACAGCAGCAGCAGCATACAGTGAGAGCCGAGCAGGACGGGACCAGCCATTACCGGCAATATGTTTGAGAGGCAATGCTCGACCGGGTGACAGTACAGACCAGAGATTCTGATGGGCGTGATCCACTCGTGGTGAAACTTGTGAACGTGTTTTTTCATCGCTGCCAAGCTCCTCAAGAGGCTTCAGCACCTGGACTATCCTTTCTGCTTTCACTCACTGTAATAATGGCTGGCAACCCTGGCCACGTCATTGGTCACAAAGCTCGCTAGCAGTGGTCACTCGCCCCATGTCCGAAATTTCGAGTCCTCTGTCTCATACTCTTGGACAATACATGTACCGAACCAACTATAGATCCGATAGAACAACAAGACACGTGCACTATTGCAGGCAACGATTTACATCTGTTGACCATCTAGCCACGCACTGAATTATTTCCATTTTGACGTTTGAATAGATGTTCAAATAATATCCAACACGCAGTTCAGTTCAGTTGGCTCAGTCCTCCAGTCTGCGGTCATCAACATCATGCCATTCATCGCGATCAACACGCATTCTCTTACAACTCGGTCTGGCTTTCTTCAATCTTGACCATTATCACTGCCATACTACAACAGTTTACTCGATTCATATCACTCCATAATGGGAACTTATTGCGCTCGTACTCTGCAATCATCAGCCAATAATCCAAGGAACCGAAAAAAATCCTATCAGCTATGTCAGATCAACGCTTTCTTCGTGCACGCATGCGCCATGGCAACCATGACCGGAGTCGGAGGCTGGCGGAGAGTCGGAGACCTCACCCGTACCCGGTAGAAGTCTACCCTGGCCTCACTCAGGCCCAACGCCGGCCAAATGCGAAGGCTACTACCACTTGCCAGTACTCAGGTACTGGCGGCATGGCTGCAACGACCGCGTTGACGTTGTCATCTCCTTCCGACTATTTTTTAGTATTTTTTACTATTCTCTTAGTGCTGTTACTGATACTGTGGTAGCCAAGAGCCTAGGCGATCAAGCTGATGCTGAACATTTCAAGCGTGATTTTCGAAGAATTGTTTGCCTCCATGAAATTCGCTCTGTACCTGAGCCACAGCTGATGAACGGCTTGTACTTGAAAGTACGTGTTATTGCTTGAGAAAGACAACTCTTTGATCCTAAGAAGTTATGCAGTAACTCGATTTCGATCGTGATCAGTCCGCAGTGCGAGTGAACTTTGGTCACGCGGACAGGCAGGAGTGTGAACAATGGCAGACAGGGTGCGCTATAACATAGCCTTCCTACTTTCCAATCTAGATGCATCCGTGATCTTGGAACTCTTGCTGGAGAATGATGTGCTGGACGTTGATGAATATGATACTGCCTCTAGCAAGGAAAACGTGAAGTCTGAACTGACAAAGTACGTGGTGAGGCTGATGCTGAAGAAAACAGAGGAACAGGTCGACACGTTCCTGAGGCTCATTCAGCACAGCCAGCCTCATGTAGCGGAACATGTCGCCAGTACCATGGCAAAGCGACGCGATCCAACTGCCAGTGGAAAAACTGACCATCCGACGAAGCCAATATCAATGTCGGCAGATGATGAGTCCACACTTGGCTCGTCCTCCGGTAAGTTTTCACATTGATTACGTGGCGTAGGAAGATTGGGGGGGGGGGGGGGGGAGCTCGTTGAACATTCGTGTAACTACATGACATGTACAGTTCTGCTCAATGAAATCCAGTCACAGCATCACTCAAGTACGCGCTCGGCGTTGCGCAGCCCTAGACCTGCAAACATTGGGCTGCAAAATGGTGCAAGGTACAAACTTGAGTGACACGACTGGATTTCATTGAGCAACACTGTACTTACTTGTTAGCAGTGAGAAGTGCTTACAGAGATCAATTAGTTCATGCATTCTCATCAATCGTATTGAGAGCTGACCCTGGGTGGGTTCAGTTAGATGGACAGTCCTGAGGTTATAACCAGATCTACATGATGATCCTGTAGATCTACAAGAAATGCAGGTGCCACTGGCGTGAAGCACTGTCATGGGTCACTAGATTATTGCTAGGGAGTTCAGTTCCAGCCTGGGTCAGGTGAAAACTGCAGTAAAAACTTGCGTGTACATTTACAATGGGGCCCGCGTGAAAGCTCTTTGGCCTGACTTCGAGCCCGCCCGCTTCTATCTGATCCCGTGGCCAGTACTCCCTTGTCGATGCTATTTTAGGTAGCTGAGGTCATCGTCTTTCCATTGATGCCACACATGCCATGCTTGAACAAAAAAGGTGGAGCCGTTGTTTGCACAGAGGCATAGCGAAGTACTGATCTCAACCAGATTCATACTCGGCCCCGGGAGGTATACCCAATTTCCGTGTTCAGCAGCCTCGGATTAGTCTAAAACAAGAGCATTCTAGAACATTTAGCCTCGCACTGTATCGCAGTAGAAGGAAAATTATCACAGAAGCCAGCCCACAGCGATTTCCCGATGTTGGACGGAAACGGCATGCATGTGCACATCCTGTACTGCCATGCACTTCAGTTCGCACGCGCATCTATGCACCAAATAGTGCAGTGCTGGACGGAAACCACACCGTCCCCATTCATACTTGAATTACTTTCTGTGACTGCTCAGTTGTTCATTTTACAAACTTCAATCATAGCTTTAACTTTGGTTTAGGTGAAGTAAAAAGTAATTTATCGTGTCCGTTCCTGAAGGGAACTCACGACGGCCGCTAACACCCGGTAACCCCTAGCGGCATTGCCTTTGGATTGCCTTGGAATTTATGTTTCAAACTTTCGCAGGTCGTTTCTGAAACCTTCCCGGTTCACAAAAAATAGCGTTTCATGCGAAACTTTCGAATATGATTTTTCGAGTGAAGTTTCTATTATTGCTTTGCATCGTAGCTGCTGATGAGTTTTGTTTTTCTCAAGTTCTGCAGTTTACTTCGAAATCGCAAACATTGCTTTAGTCGGAGTCAGTTGTTCTCATTGCTACGCCGGCAGCAGCTATAGTGCAGCATTCCAGAGAATACCACTTTCCAGACAAAATGTTCAACTCAGACTTAGTACAGTTTTTCTTGGAGAGAGAAGATTGCAAGGTACTTTGGCGGCAGAGTTAAATTTGAACATTTCCATGGAAATACTAAGCCCAAGGCTACAAGCCATCATTCAATGACCTCCAAAAGATCTCACTAGGTCCAGATAGTCATCAACACCATTGTGGTAAATCCTCTATCAGTGGAACATGACTTTGTTACTAGTCATAGAGTTCTAGTACAACCACTGGTAGGAGATAAGCCCAGGATTCTTGTTTGTAATAGCTGGAAGTGGGGCGTTATTTTCTAACGTGAACTTGTCCCTCTGTCATTGCTCTGTGCACAGAACAGTCTGAGAACACTACCATTACTATGATTTTTTAACTTACTTTCTCCGTTGATAAGCAAAACTTCTACATAGGGTTTTGAACTCCGATAGCGTTTTAGAGTTCTGTTTATGATCTTTCTATAGGCAATAGACACACATATCGGTGATCTATCTTCCCCCCCCCCCCCCCCCAGATAGGGTAGCCATGGTGACATCCATTTCTCTGATAGGCTTAGAACCTCCGATACGCGTGGAGTCCTTTGCAGAAATTAGTATAGCCCTGTCCTGACAGGATGTCACCAGAACACACCCACAAGCGCACAACACCGAAGTGAGAAATGAGAAACAGAGCCTTACAAAAACCATTCCTGTGAGCTCCTTGGCCCAGGGAGATTGCAAAAATGCCTGTCAAGAACAATACTGAAAATTATACCGGTATCACCGCCAACAATACCAGTTATTGTGCGCACAAGACGGAAAGACATGAAGATCCCAAATCAAAAGGACGTCACTCTTCATGCCGCAGAATTCACGGCAGGTAGACCGCTGACAAAGATCAAGAAGCTGTTCGCGTAGCTCTTCTCAGACTTTCCAAGTTCTCTAAATCTCAAGGTAAAATTTGTGCACAAACAACTCAAGTTGTACTTCAAAGTAGATCTACCATGAGCAAGTATCCAGTTCCGCTCCAGTGTCAGGACTCAACTGGTCACGCAAGCGGAAGGAGTGAGTGCGTTCGATTATGACCGCGAAACGATGTTGAATCCATTCATGAAACGTCCCTGGCTATTCACATCACCCCATGTTAGGGTAAATGGATTCCAAACTGATTCCAGGGCTACATGACATGAAATCCAACGACAAGATTCCATTCATGAATCAATTAATGGCTGTAATCGAACGCACCCAGTGTGAACGCACCCAGTGTGGCCGAGGAGCCGGTCAAAGGTTCACCACTGAAATCGCACAAAAGCTGGTTGTTCTAAACAATCAGAACTGGGCTCGATTGTCGTTGAACCGATTAGCCATCAAGCTGGTAAGAGAAGGAGTAAATGTCTCACCTGTGACTGTTTGAACTAGGTGCAAGGCGCTTCAGATGCGGAGACGGCGACGATACATCAAGCCGGATTGGACAGCCGAGCATAAAATAAAGCGCATGAAATTTGTCCTCTCCCAATTGAATTACCAGACCATGAAATTCTCCGACCTGAAAAACGAGACACATGGAGGCGAGAAGTGATTCTACATGATGCATGACAAGCATGCAACAGAAAATGTGGTGGTTTCACGAGGATGCAGCATACACAACCAGTGATGCTGGTACAGTCAAACCTCGCTTATCCGGTCCTCATTTATCCAGATCCCTTGCCATCCGGAAGAAAATAATTATTGTTAGTTACCGATATACAGCATATGCCATGCATACATACAGTATGTGTGTTCGATTATCCGGTTCCCTCGCCTATCGGATTGTTTTGTGGAAAACGGATGTGTGCGGTTATGCAAGGTCTGACTGTATGCGTCCAACCATGTGGAAATGTTGGGGCTGGGAAATGGAAGTTTGAAAAGCCGCGTGGCTCGAAGAAGTGACCAGGAGCCGGCCAGCCACTGCTGTACCAGCACGATGGTTTGTGTCCGCACACAACAAAAATCAATGGGCGTGTGTTTGCAGGACAGGGGAAAGCGAAAGGATTTGACATTCAGGTTTTTGTTCAGGCTGGACAACACCCCGATCTCAACGCGGACGACTTGGGGTTCTTCCACAGCCTGCAGACCGACGTGTCACCGATGGTGAATGAAACCAGAAAAGGAGCTCAGAAGTTCTGCAGGCTTTGGAACCGTGCTGGCAGAAGAATCCCACTGCAAAGGTGAAAAACATTAAGTTTTGGTTGTGCCGCTATGGCATCTTCCATGGGATTCTGGAGAGCGGCGGAGAGAAAAACTGCCGACAGCGGCACCGTGCAAATCGTCAAGTTCAGAGTTCAAGCAAAGAAGTACGATCAAATATTTTCTCGGCATCTTTTAATGTTTACAGAGCGTGAGCTGTCAGTGTGTCAGCACTGCAGACGGGAGTCACCGAGGAAGCAGACTCAATGCAGGGAATGAGTTTTGATCGGATTCAGATGAAGAGAGAAGTTGGACCACTTCGGAACAAACTGTGTGACATCTATAAACTACTATCTCTCGTATGCTGCTCTGTTCTCCCCTCTGCAAACTGTGTTGTAGCCATTGAATGCTTTTGACGGAACTGTAAAAAAATGCAACAAAGTTTCGCTTAACAAAGGAAGTAGGTCATATATCCCTTTTGAAAAAGATTTAAAACTTACAATAGGTTTATTCATACTTTCTGTTTGCTTGGTAGGTATATCCATGACAACAGTTGGCAAACAGAAAACACAG